ACCCGAATTGGCTGCCTGATTTGGATCATGCTCTTCCCATGAACTCACCATCTGTACAAGGCACACCAACACTTTGGTAAGTAATCAATAACATCTAATCATAATTAAGTCACTAACCTAGTTTAATTAGTTTTTAATTCACTAAACAACAAAGGCAGAACCCTAATAAACATTATTCTATCCTAGGGTTTTCCAATCCAATGACAATTGTACCCATAATTTTGAGCTGCTTACCTTCGATTTCAAGGGCAAACTCGACAAAGAAGACAACCAGTGGTCCCGAGCTGCCTTTGTTGTGTCGCTTTCCTGCCTTTATTGCCCGCTACAATGTATAAAACGAAGGCAGCAACACACATTTACAACACAGTTGCGAAGAGAGAAAAGAGGAAAGGGTGGGCAACCAGAGAGGTACTTACCGGTCGAATGAAAGGAAGAAGCCCAGGAAATCAACCGCCCGAGATTCCCAGAAGCATCCTGAAGATTAGGGTTTTTTTTCTGTCGAAGTGAAATTCCGATTCTTGGGTTTCGATGGTCGATTTGAGCTCACCAGAGTCCTAATCGCGTCGCCGGAATGCTCGCCGACCCTCTATTAACCACCTGGAAGCATCGCCGCCGACTCGGAGGAAAGGGGTTTTGGGATGGGATCGATCGGGAAAGGGGTTTTGGGTGGGAGGAAAATCTGGTATGAGGAGGAAAGGGGTTTTGTTTGTCGTTGCCGGGATCGATCGGGAAAGGGGCGCTCCACGTCGGCGAACACCGCCGCCGTTCTGGACTTCGCCTCAGCTGTTCGTGGTCTTCGTCGGGGGGAGTAGGGTTCGAAGGGAAGAAGATGTCGACTGTGGAGGAAAGGAAAAATGAAAAGGAAGAGAGAGGGCGTGCGTGGCTGATCTGTTCTTATTCTTTTTTTTTTAATTCCACGTGGAAAATACTTACCGGAGGAAAATCGCCACATCGGATTATCCGTTAATCCAGTCAGCACCGTAAGTCACGCCGTCAAAGAATTGGACGGAAATGGCTATATTTGGTATTTCGTCAAAAGTGGCTATATTTGGCAAAATCGTCAAAGTTTTGGCTATACAAGTGTATTTTGCCTAATTAATATATAAAAACATAGAACCTGATTATTATTCACTAAGAATATCCACATTTATATTGCATTCTCAATTGCAATATGAAAGGGAATGGGTGTTTGCAATTGCAAAACCAATTACATTGATGTGGCTACCAATTATATATTTGCAAGATTGCAACAAATGCAATTCCATATACAAGTCAAAAAGGCCTAAACATAGGGATTTTATATATATATATATATATATATATATATATATATTTGTTGAATTAATTTTCTTCTCTCTTTTAACTTAATTTTCTATAATTTAAACATAATATTAATTGGGTTATAGGTATAATATGCCCCTCTATTATGCAGTTTTATCAAACATGCCCCTCTACTATTTTTTACATCAAAGATGCCCCTGTACTTTGGAAAATAATCAAACATGCCCTTCTATTAAAACTTCAATTGAAAAAATCGTCAATCTTGGAAAATAATCAAACATACCTATAACCCTATTTAATTACATATGCAATTACAAGTTAATTGCATTGATGTAGGTGAATGAAATGAATATGAGGTGTATTGCAAAAAAATTGAGTGGCATTAAAAAACACATATGCAAATGTTTTTTCATTTGCATTGATGTGAATGCTCTAAGGATTGTATTCCCTCCCCTTACCATGTGGAGAGAGAGAAAGAAAGAAGAGAAGCCACCGGATGATGAAGAAGAAGAAAAAAGAACTATTATTGCGGTTATATGATCATTAGGGTTTTGTAGCTTAATTATTATTTTGGTATAATGTTATTATTTATAGGCTAAATTACATGATTGGTCACTCGAATTACATAAATCTTTCGCTTTTGCCACCCGAATTACTTTTTTTTTTCTTATTAGCCACTAACTTTAGGATTCGTTTCACCGTTAGTCACCGGCCATCAATCTTCGTTAACACCGTTCTGGCCAATCTCAACGGTCAACTCTTCTTTACTCTTAAATTGAACTTTGGGTTTGAGATTAGAAAATTGGGGCCTAGGGTTTATCCATTATAGGTTAGGGTATAGTATCATACCCCAAACTCGATTTAATTCATTGTCAGATAGATATATCTCACTAAGAGTACATGGAGCAAAGTATGCTCTAGGAGCACACAAGTCTGACCCATATATATAAACATACAACGGTTGCAGCAACCCTGCGGCGACGACTACCCCCGGGGAACAGCGATCCTCCTCCATCCCCAACGTCGTCGCCGCCGCCGCTGACAACCTCTTCTTAGCGCTGGAGCACCACTTCTCCCTCTTCAAGAAGAAGTTCAGCAGATCGACGCAACGGTTCTCACTGAGTCACTCGGTTCTCCGATTTGACCCCTCGCGAGTTCAAGAGGCAGTTTTTGGGACTCAAGAAGCTCGGGCTCCCCAGCGATGCCAACACGACGCCAATCCTCCCGACAAGCAATTTGCCTGAGGATTTCAATCGGAGGGAGAAGGGGCAGTTACTCTCGTAAAGAATTAGGTCAAATTCCCCCCTTTATTCTCATTAGTCTTCATCAGCTACAAGTTTTAGGTTTCGTAATCGAATTCCTAAAATTTTGTGAAAGATAGAAACTAATGTTTCCATCTTACTCTGCTTATTCTCATTACTCTTCATTGGTGAACGATGGCGACTAATTAGATCTTGGGAACCGCCGGGAAGGTGAGGCTACCAGTGGTCCTCATCGGCGGGAGGTGGATCGTCGGGCTAGACGAGATTCAGGGGCTCCACGGGAGCGGGGAGTTGAGGAAGATCGTCGTAGGGTTGTTGTCCCTGCCGAAGTATATTTTAATTTATATTTTTTTGAGGAGAAAATGAAGTGTAATATATTTTTTATATTTTAACGGTGTTAACGAAGGTGTTAACGAAGATTGACGGCCGGTGACTAACGGTGAAACGAATCGTAAAGTTAGTGGCTAATAAGAAAGAAACGTAATCGGTTGGCAAACATGAAAGATTTATATAATTCGAGTGACCAATCGTGTAATTCGGGTGGCAATCGTGTTAGATGAGAGTTAAAATTTATATATTTATGCCCAATATAATGATTTTTCCATGTATCAAGTTTAAATCAGGCTAAACTGGGCTAAATCGATCGACCCATTAATTAACTCTTGATACACTAGTTCGGTCGAGCCAACAAGGTAAACCAAGTTGACAACCTTGATCAAAAGTATCATTGTGTGAAAATATGATTTGTGATGAGTAAAAATAGGAGAAATATAATTAAGTATTGAGACAAGTCAAGGTAAAATAGGTCAAGAACGGGCGGGACAAGACGACGCAGGATGAAAGTAGTACACATGCCTCATTCCACACTACTAGGTACCCCCAACACGAATTGGGTAGGGTAATACCCGATGTGACGAATTCAATTTTTCATCTCTACTACCAGTTTTATTAGAGCTTCAAGAGTTTGTTTTAACACTTTAACATCATTCTTTTTATATTTTGACATATACAACCAACATCATTTGATGTGATGATTTTTTACATGTCAATAAAATACGAAGATTATCATTAATTGGAAATAATGTATCTCTGGCTAAATTAGAGTTAGCCAAAAGATTTGAGAAGTAACTAGATTGAGATAGAAGGGGACAAAATAAATATTGGATTTGGATCAAGATAGGTGTGATTCAAAAAGGTAATAAACACTTATTTATTTATATCGTCGCAAATATAGAGTGATGTTTCCTGGTATAAATTTTGACATAATATTCATCCACCAATTTTATTTTCCATCATATCAAATAATATTCGCATGTATCCTTTATTACATAAATTCATTAACCACTAACCAAAATTTTCAAGAAATCCCATCAATACAATCAACTGGTTCTAGATGACACAAGTGCAAAAAATTAAAATTAGAAACAACTACACTTGAGATTTTGTTAGACAACCGTAAACCATCTTCTACTTTATATAATATTATATAATAATTAAAGAAGAAAAAAAAAAGAGGACAGTCAGCTTGATGATCTCCCCTCCCTTAGGGCCTGGAGCGTTAAAAAGGATCACGCCATGCACCCCCTCAACATTAAGTTCGATCCAAAACAAAATTTGAAACCAACTATACTAATTATTATTATTATTATTATTATTATAAATAATAGCATTGTATCTCATGACCTTTCTTTCAAAACCAACTAGAATATTAATAGCAGTAATATGGGCATAAGATCTGCTCCATGTACGACCCAAACTTTCACGGGGAAATGTATAGAAATGAAAAGCCCAATTTTTCAGCGAAAACAAACCAGAAGCAAGCTGTAAACTTATAACCACCACCACTTTGCATTAAATAAAAAGCCTGTGTGGCTAAATGAATCGTCATTAATACTACTGTAATTTATTGTATTGTATGGTTGCTGCAGTTCCCCATTTATATGCCGTGCCGTCACAGCTACTCATGTCCCCTTCCAACCCCAACACTGAGATCCAATAATCACACCATTCTCACGAGATCCCAAAATAAACTCCACCTAATTAAAAATAAAAAATAAAAACCCTACCAAAACTTTTGTATTCATGAAAAAAATATCCATAATTTTTACAAAGCTTAGCTCTTACAAAAACTATACGTAAAATATCCTCTCTAATCTCTATTATCTACTAATCATGAAAACCAAGGAAAATATTTAGAGCTGGAGAATCAGATATAGGAACAGTAGTAACTATACTAGGAAATTAAACATGTATCATTCAAGGTGTAATCATGAAAGCTGGCTTCCTCTCCCACATTAATTAATTGTCCCTCAAGATACCATGATTAACATTTGGTGAAGATGATCATGAGAGGCATTCATAATAGTAGTAACTTTTGGCACCAGAGACAAAAAGATAACAATGGCAGCAGAGAGATTAATTAAAGAGCGCCATCATCATGATCATTGATTATCATGATCAATGGTGCAATGGGTTTGGACCCGTAGGAACCAGCCGCTTGTCCACGCCATATCTAGGATCGATCTCCGGCGGACTCGACCCACCACCACGCCGGTGATGATGATGCTGGTGGTGAGCTGACTTTCGAAATCGAGAGAAGTCGAACTTGCTGGCCAGAACCTTCCTGTGCTTCACCACCGCATCACCATGATTCTGCCGCCGGGGTGCATGGAATGCGGTTGATGGTGAAGGGTTGGAGGTGATGACCATGTGTCTCTTGAGGCCGTACAATCCATGGAAGAGAAGGAAGACAAGGGAGAGCCAGAGGAGAAGCAAGAAGACCATGGCTGGCAGTTTCAATGCGGCCATGGAGGAACAACAAGAGCAAGAAGTGGCCGAGAAGGGTTGTTAAGGGAATTGGAGGAAGCATGGAGCAAGAGAAAATGGTGGGAGAGGGAAGAGAAGTAGTATAGAGAGAAGAGGGTGGGGAAGAGCTAGCTAGTAGTTTTTTTTAGTTGGGGAAAACGAGAGTTTCGATGATGGAAGGTGTAGTTTGTTTAGTGAGATTAGGTTTGATAGATAGAGAGCTTGAATCTAGCTAATGTGTTGTGTAGTCTTCTAACTTGTGTGTGTGTGTTGAAGGAAGAAGGGTTACTTACGTTCCCTTTTTTGGGGGGGCTTCTTGATTTTCATGATCATGTGGAGATTCGGCAATTACGGGCGCGATCTCCATTATTAATTATGAACTTGTTCGAGATTTTGTGGAAAGAGAGGAGAAAGAGATATTAAAAGAGGTCAAATAGTGAGGAAATGGGGGTTACGGTGTATTGTTATTGGTACAAGCGAGCTAAGCCCTTTTCCCGATAGAAGGTTGCTTAGAAATCAAGGATATGGGGGGAGAAAAAAGGGATCATTATGGAGGTTTTTGTCAAACTTGGAATTATTCCACACTTTGATTATGTTCTATTTATTTATTCTTAAGGGTATTGTATATCTAGCTACATGATTCCCCCCCCCCCCCCCCCCCCCCCCTAAGGAATAAGTAGAATGATCAATGACATCCATGATACTAGGTAAGGGTTATGGGAAAAAAAACGATACTATAGGTAAGGTAAGGTTTATAAGGCATGGCCTCAATAAGAAAGATAAGGGTTCTATCTAGGGGTGGGCACGTGGGTGGTTAATCTGCAGATTGATATTGATCCACCCGCAAATAACCCGACCCGCACGCAATGGGTGATTGATGTGGGTGGATTGCGGAATGGTAAATCTCCCACCCGCACTTATGTGGGTGAATGGTGGGTGGATTGCGGGTCACCCATATGACCCACATCCTATTTTTACATGAAAAATGTTGTTTCTTATAGTATCGAATATTCATCATATTTTCGAACTGCACTACAGTTTGACCATATACATCAAAAGGTGAATAATAAATAATAGTTTTGACTACTTTTATAGGTCATTGTGCTATGCAATATTCATTAGATATTGGATATTGGCATGCAGATTATTGTTAATAATCATTAAATATTGGGATGCAAACTATAAATTATTAATTGTATCAAAATCACAAATTATTGATAGTCTTACTAATTTTGCTATGAACTTATTATAAATGTTAGTCAACTTTCTTAATGGCTAGTTGGAGAATTGCTTTTGCGGGTTGACCCACGACCCAACCGCACCCATTCGCCATCCACCCAATCTAATCCACTGAAGTATGTAGGTGGATTGCGGGTCATAATTATTTCAACCCGCTAGTAAGCGGGTGGGTCAATTTGAGACCAAAATCCACCCAACCCCCCAGACCCGGCCCAGATCCTATGCTGGTCAGACCCATAGCACAGGGCCTCAATTGTTGGGGGCCTCATAATTCATAAGCCCGGAAGGAGAGCAGGAGCCAAATTGGACCTCACAATCCGTAAGCCCGAAGCAGAGCAGAGCCAAATTGGGCCTCTCAATCAATAAGTGGGGCGAGCTGCACCCTTGGGTGGCAAGCCCAAACAAAAAACACATGTTTCAATGAGCAAGCGCAGGGATGGGGATCGAACCGACAACCTCCTTTTTATTAAAAAAATACTAAACCACTGAGCTAAGAGTTGTTTTGTGTATCTAATCTAACAGTTAAAGGATATCACGACTCTCTTCTTTTCTTTCTCCAAAATTTTCAACGAATCGTTAGATGGATTGATTTCATTCTTCAAAAGAAATAGAGAATATGAAAGGGCTAATAGAGAATTTTATTTCAAATAATTCTAGACGATTGTTACTTTTTGAACAATAATAATATTATTATTACTTTTGGAATTATTTTATGAACTTATATAATATTAATTTTTATTTAATAACTTTAATTTTTAATAAATTTGTGAGACAAAATTTTCAGGGTCATATTTTAAATTGTCGAACAGGGCCTCCGAATATCATGGGACGGCCCTGCAACCCCCCATTGCCCACCCCTAGTTCTATCACAATTAGCCTGCATTTTCTGTCTCAAGTATAAAGTATGCGTCCCAGAAAATATGTCGCTTGATAAGCTTCTGTACATATAGATCTACAGAACGAAGTATCTCTCGGAGATTTCAAAATGTTTTTTTACAAAGTGAATTAATCTAAAGCATGGCCTCCAGTAAAGTAGTAAACTGTATGCGATCAATGTCAAATATAATATATTTATTGAATAATATATTTTCGCCATTTCCATGGTTGTTTGTTTCCAACTCGGGGTAATTTTATTAGTTAAATCTTTATTTTTTTTTCTATGTACATTCCAATTACATCTTTACAATAAATTTATCAAGACGCCGTTACAATAAATACTGAATTGTGTATATCCCGCGTTGTACACAGTTGTTACACTCTTGGAGTGGAGTTCAAACAAGCTAGCCGTGGTCAATTAATAATTAACAGCAAAGGAGGTGGTGGAATAATGTGCAATCCACAATTTCTGTGAGCAAAAGCAAAGGTTCGTTGGGGCGGTGGCGTATTAATGTAAAGATCATGAGAGTATATAATGTGGGACAAAGCAATATGCATAACGGGTTTAAAAAATTCAGTGTGAAAGAAAAAAGTTACAAGTTTTAAGTGTACTAGTTAGGGGCCCGGCCAGTTGGCCGGATACAATCGTCAATTGCGTGCACTATAATGGCAATTAGTATAGGAGATACGTGTTTATTTGGTATTATAAGAAAACTTAAATTATTCAAATATTCGAAACCTTCAAATTGATTGGTAGCATAAGAGAATCCAAATTATACACTTGAACCATTCAAAAGGACAAAATCACAGTGTTTTCTACATTCTAGCCTACTCGTAGACTACAATTCTGTAAAAAATGAAAGACAAACCTCAAACAAAGTAACCGACTTATAAAAAAAATGTTAATTTCACTCATTCATGTACGGCTCATTTTGATTGCTGCATATTTTCTTTAGACTTGTTTGTATTTCCCAAATATGAGTAACATTGTCATCTCCACTGATAACAATATCTTCATCTCCTTTGTGAAACATTTATCTCCATTATATATTCTCTTTTTCTCTCTTGCATTTCAATAGTCCTTTCCTTGTTTTCCTGCATTTCATTTAGTACAAAAATTTAATAGTAAAGTATTACAAATACAAATCATCTACTTTATTGGAGTAGAATTTGTTTCTTCCAAATAATCAACAAAATCACCGATATTTTCTTGGTCCCATCATCGTATTTATACATCCCTCAATAATGTCTTCTTTTGTCTCAACAACATCATCATCTCTAACATCGGATCAGCTACCTCCAACATTAGCAGTTTCATTCTTTTACTCATGCATTAACAATATTCTTTTAGATTATTGATATTCAAAAGCACATCATATGGTGGGTTTTTTGTCGAATTATAAGTGATTAATATATATTGGAGTAAAAAATTGTTGGCGGATAGTCGGATACAATTGCATGCCTGTTACTGGGAGATTAAGTAAAGTTTCGTTGGAGTTTGAAGTTATAGGCACCATGCATTTGTCTACAAATATCATTTGTGCATGGTATAAGAATTTATAACTTCAAAAATTTGAAGATGTATACAGTTGATAGCAGTGGATGATAGACGCAATCAAATGCATTACTAAATTAACATGTGAAAGTAAATATGGTAGGTAGTTTAATTACATAACATATCACGGGTGCATGTTTGAAACACACTCCAAATCTAATAGAGAATAAAGTAACATTTATAATTAATATGGATATCCATTTTCACCCAAGTAAAATTTACCTTGATCAAGTGAAGAAGAGCATCTGCGTTCTGCTCTTCCTCATCCTTTCCTATCTTGAAAACCATGTACTCACTTTGTTGGGTTAGAGATATGAAAACCTGTGAGTTTGATGTCGAAATTCAAAACCATTCCCACAATTTGTAGGAGATGAGCATGTGAAGGTCATCTCATTTTATCAAATTCTTGGAATAGCCTCTCAACTAATTCCAACATTGTCCACCACAACAAAGTTAGCCTCAGTTGTTTTTGCACAACTCAAAGGAGGATCCTGATTCTGTATAATGATAGTAATGTGATACACAACAATATAAATTGTCTTAAGTAATATACCTTTTTATTGCTATTGTCAAAGAATCCAAATTATTTAATTACGGATAGAAAAAATTCGACCTATTAAAGCACATTGTATGAATGACATATATCGATGTAATGACCCGGATGAGAGGGCGATCACCCGAATTTGCAAGAATGTCATTTAATTGGGTAACTATCCTACCAAATGGGTTTACCTTTATAACCAATCCCCGTACCCAAATTGTATAATAGAGTTAAGTAATGCATGCTATTTTAAATTGAAAGTTAAAATAATTACTTACTCGAGAAATTTTAGATGGAGCTTCTTGTGGGTAACTTTTCTAGTGATGCAAGTAGAAGTCAATACCCTGAATACTGATTAAGCTGGAAAATAACATATGTGGAATGAAATTTTTTAATTTAATTTTATTTTTTTTGTATACACATAAACTTGATGTAAATTTGAATTGCGAATAGTAATTCAAACCTGAAAGAAATTTCCCTTGGCTTCACTTTTTGTCAATTTCTTTTGATGAAATTAAACTTGTAAGTTGGTACGGTTGGAATGTCGTTGCATGCTTCGACCTTGGTATTTGATTCAAACTTGATGACGAATTTGTTTGTAATTGGCCTATAATCTCTTATTGTCAGATTGACCTTGAAGTTCTTGATAGTGTAAACTTTATGTTCACGAAACATATATTGAATAACCTTGATTTTCCCATTTGGAATTTGCACCCAAATATTATTACCTTGAAGAAAAAAATAGGCCTATTAATAATATTTCAAAACTTGAATAATAGAGTTGAATTTGCG